AACCTGGTTGCCGAGTTCACGAAGTGAATTGGCTTGTTTTACAACGTCTTTGCCAAGCGACGAAAACCCAATCCCGATGGCAAACACCGGGGGGGGCGGCTTGTTTTACAACGTCGTTGCCAGGCGACGAAAACCCAACCCCGATGGTAAACACCGCACAGCCTCCCCCCTCACATCGGCGTCTACAGTTCGCGGGGTATGGACAAATGAGCCATGCCCGCCGCTGAGCCCTAGGTCAGCCTCCCGAGGGTGCGAGGGGGGAGGTAAGGCCCTTAAGCCCCTCAAAGAGGGGGGTAGAAGGGAAGCCAAGAGAGAAGAGTATGTGCAGATGTCAACAGAGGCCCCCAGGATGGGACAATAACGGGGTACCATCAACATCTCCAACGAACATATCTGGGCCCTTAGCAGAGTACTGTCCACAACGCCCCCAAAGCACATGGCTACGTTTCAGTAGAACCCGATAAGCTTGATAACGAACTGGGCTCTGACTACAAGCTAGCATTGAATACCAATCGCAAGGAACGGTCAAATCGCCATCTCAACATGAAGCAACGGCAGATAGAAACATCGCCAAGTCCCTTAAGTATCCTGCACAACGTTGGCCAGCAACATCACGACGCACCATCACGAACGCCCTCATCATCGATTAATAACGCCCACAGTAGGCAAGCACTCTCGAAAGTTCGTAATCGTAGATATTTGGCCAGCATACACATACCTGTGTCACGTAGATAGCTGCCAAAACACCAACGATCACAAATGATGGAGAGTGCACCCCGACACAGCAGGCACGGCAAGACCAAGCAGCAACACTCCGAAGGATGAAGTGAACTATCGACCACAGCAGGATAAGCTCTTAGTCTTCATTCAATATGTGAGAGAATGTTGTATCACGCCAAAACATTTATGGAGATGCGGCCGACGTAAACACTATTCCCGCCAATATGAAATTATTGTATGGTGAATCACGCCAAATCTTTTTCAAAGATTCGGGCTGCGTCATTCCTGGTGCTCTCGAACGAGAAGCCCAAATCTAATATACATCAGCAGCAATAGGTCTGAAATATATTTGATATCCACAAAAGGCAAAAAATGCCCATAAAATTCGCGTGCTATATCTGTCCAAGCCGCAAAGCGCAATCGAGGTGTCCTGCTACAACATCAATTCACTCAGAACATGTGATACACTCACACCAGTTCGATTCGCTGGTGGTCTCAAGCAAGTGCTAGCCCCCCGCACATTGTCCTGCACGTGTGCTCGCCCCACACAACGTAGGTACCCCCCCACCATCTTGCACCGTGAAAGGACGCACCTGTACACGATCAAGAACTCGCACGAAATGCTTGTAGAAAAGCAAGAGGCATGCATAGTCGACGATATAGACGCGTGCCACACTCGCAGCAAAACGTAAGGGCTACGCTCGACCACAGATGCTCGCACCGCCTACAAAAACAGACCCCGAAAACGCAAGCCTCATGTAGAGACTAAAAGCAAAGAATCAGCCGTACGTGCAAAATGGGTCGCACGATTTGTTGTCAACATGTCCCAACGAACGGTAAAAAGCACGCGACGCTAGTCAAAGCTGCATCCGAAGCAAAATCGGCATCCGCGAAGTCGAGTACGTGAACACCAGGGACGAGGCGACATAAAGGCCTCCGGAGTTCGCTCCTTGACGTGTACGTTCCATGTAGTTGGTGCTGCCGCTTGAGCGCTAGAAAGTTTTGTGGATCGATAAACAGGTCACGGCTGCCCAGTGATCCTGAATTTTTACGGATTATGGATACGAGAGCCATATGCCCTCCGTTGACCCCTAGGCCAGCCTCTCCAAGGTGTGGGGGAGAAGCTAGGCCCCTAAGCCCCTATAGAAGGAGGTGGAAACGAAGACAAGAAAGGAGAATACATTATGCGAAGACGTCAACAGAGACTTTCCGGATGGGACAACAAGGCGGTACCATTAACATCTCCAACTACCATATCTGGGCCCTTCCCAGAGCCCTGTCCACAGCCTCTATCCAGCACGCTGAAAATGGGAGGCAGTTTCGCGGCGCTGGCGACGCCTGTGGATACCAGCAGCAGCAGGGAAAGCAAAAGCAGCAGCAGGAGCAACCGTAGCAGCAGCAACAGCATCGCACCTCGAGGCACGTGCAGCAGCATCAGCGCCCTCACCGTTAATCTGCACAACAAACAGCCTTGTTTGAGGAGGGGGACGCGGCCTCGGGGGGGCATCGTCTACCAACTTGCAACAACGCGATGTCGGTGGAAGGGCAATTTTTACCGGAGAATCCCAAGGTGAGGAAACTACGACGTCGTTTCTGCCGCCAGACCCTTTTCCGTCAGCTGCCACTGCCCCTGCATCCTTCCCAGCGCCAACTGAGGGTGTTGGGGTGCAACCCGGCCCTGAGGGGCTGTTCTAGTCGGTGCCTCGTGGAATGCAGCCCGGAGGTATGTGTGGGTTCGATTCTGAGGATATAGCGGTTGATTTTCAGGGAAAATAGTGCGAGTGAGGTTGTCGGTGTCTGTTGCTGCCGATATGACGCTGTTGCGGTTCTGGATGGTGACTCGGGGCTCAACACCATATCAGCAGGTATCGCGAGTGGGCTGCAAGGTGCTTTTTCTGATGTGCAGCTACAACTCTCTTACGTATAGTTGGTCTTAACTAGGTAGTTTCGCACCCTACGGCAGTAGTGTATTCGAATGTCGGTGAAGACACACGCTGGATTGTTTTCCCACAGTATAACCAAACAATGTAGAAAGCAAGCACTAGATGTGACGCCAAATGTCAACTTGACGGTCAACGAGGGAATCGATCGGCTGAATCCTTTTCGCGAATAAAATCTAGCTTAGCACAACAAGGAGACCAATGCGCGGACGCGCGGAAGGTTGTTTGCAGAGGACGGGCGTTCACGACAATACATGGGCAAGATGAACTGGACGAAACTACCGACCACTGCTTACCTTGACAGCGGAAAACAAGCTAGCAATCACGAACACCTTCTTCAAGACGCGAAAGGGTGAAATATGGCACACATATAACGGTGCCGGTCGCTCCGACGGTCTAGGGATAAATTCGAAACCGCTATTCGCAAAGTCGTGAGTTCGAATCCCCATGTGCTAAGAATTCACAAATTTGCGGGTGACAGCGAATTAAATGCTGAAAAGCTTTCGTGGGTTTCAAACTTCGATGCTTGCACCGTTGACGAGGGAAAAGGGGCGGCTGGACCCTGCTCGCGACAATAAATAAAGATGAGGGGGGGTATACTCATACTCGTGTATGCCGAAGTCGTTAGACCATTGACCTCGCCTTCCTACAAAGCTGCGATGGAGCACGCCGGGTTCCCGACCAGGCTCTCCCATCACCAAGCGCGAAGCGCCGTGAGGTAATCGGCGAGTCGCATGAAGGGTGTGCTGTATTCCGCTAAGGGTGTTCGGCATCTTGTGCTTACTTCGTTACGTACGGATGACAGCTGCGTATAATTTAATTTATTTGACAACAGCGTATGGTTCAAGTTACCCTTGGAAGGTGGGGCACGAAAATGAAAATAAAAATTTGTAAATAGGTGGGCCCCGACTGCAAACGCCGACTGCAAACACCTCGACTATATCCTCACGCCGCTGGCACACCGTGGTTGTCACCCCCAGCCGGTTAAACCCATTCAAGGCGGCCTCAGACCACAGCATGGTGATAGCCAACGTCAAGTTCGGTGGCAGGCGTGCCCACAACCGAGGAGTTCGGACCAAACCAAAACAGAAGGCGACGGGAAATGCAGGTCGAAGCAACTTAATGGGCGGTGGCTGAATGGTTCCTCGTCAACCTCGACCAACGGCAGAGCAAACAAGCGACCACCACCACGGAGATGGTGATACTCCCGCAAGAACTCCGGACACGACGCACGTAGGAGTGATATGAGACGCCAGAGACAAGAATAGCATCGCAGGAGGCCCTTACGAAGCCTGGGAAACGCGTTGAGCGATGAAGGGCAATTGGAACGTTGCAATGTCGAGATTCCTCTAAGCCAAGATAGAGGTAATTCTGTGATACCAAAGCGTTGCAATATGAAAAATCTACACTTTACTTAATCTACGATACGATATTCAATCCAATAAGCGCCTTGACCAACCTGAATTGAGCGCCAGAAAATATGGTGGTTGGGGGGGTGGGGGGTAAGACTCAAATAAAATGGTGCCGTGGGGTCCGCAAGTGAATAGAAACCAACGATATATATTTTGGAGTCCTCCGCTCCCTCTGCGCGCTATGCGAGGCAACAACTGAGACTAGGAGTCAGCATCACGGGCCAGAGAGAAAGAGGTACACCCCCTTGGTTCAATCTTGGTACTTCACAACGCAAGAAGAGACAAGGCCACAGAAAAAGAGAGAAATAATGGAGAAAAAGAGAAAAAGAGAGAGAGAAAAGTAAAAGGAAACAGAAAAGAAAAAAGAAAACGCAAAAGGCGAGGACAAAAAGGGACCAGGCCGAAAATAACAAGAAAAAAAAGGCAGAAAATGACACACGGTGGAGAGACCACGGACGAACACGCAAACATGGCCACCAACCAGCAATATGTTGTTATGGTACATTATCACTAGTGGGGGGTTGGTGCAATGCTGCAGCGTTGGGGGAGGGGGCAACTGGCTCAAATAAATTCAATCCGGCACGTATCGTGCCACTCGATCCGTCTCTTCTCGTTTGCTTTCTTTCCTCGCCGTCTCGTCCGTTTCCTGCCCCCCTCCCGCCCCATTGGTTGGTGGCTTGTGGTTTCGTTTGAGCGCCCGTTGTCGGCTGGCCTCTTCTTCCTTCTCGTGCCAGGAGGTCATGAACCTCTCAGCTCCCTGCAGCACCGCCGCATGCCAGGGTACTCCCCCCTCCATGCTTTGTTGCACGTGTATGTGAGAGACGAAAGCAAGTCGAAGGCTCTGATCTGTACGTGCATGGTCGGATGCAAATTGTGCTGCGCATCTCTATGTTTTTGATGCGGTCATTTTATGATAGTGTATGTATTTGTTGGCAGACAAAGGGAACAAATAACAAAATCCTGCATACTGGCTACTGGTGGTCCTTTTCAATGTTCATCTTCTCGGAAACATAGGCAACTACTACGTCCTGCAAGCTGCGAGTTTTCCTGCCTGTGCGTGCTACTATATGATATGCGTATCGTGTGTGTGCGTGTGTTTTTTTTACCGTGCGTGCAGCAGCAGTATGTCTGTACTCGCTGCTGGGTAGCAGCTACTATGTTGGCCCGTTTCCAAATGTATGGATGGTTCTGATCTGTAGTTCGATTCAAGTTTACCGCCGTCAGTTGGCATCTGACCGGCCCCAGCGCATAGTCGCTCAAATAATACAAAATATGGTGGTTCCAAGCTTATATTTTCTTGCAAGTTACAAGGATGACTGGAGGGGGCTGATCATGAGGAGGATAATTTAGCAAATTCTTAGAAGCGATACCAGCGCTTGTGGTCCACAGTCTGTGAGCAGACCGAAAACATGTCCAACTGTGGTCGCCCGTGTCGTCCACAGTCTTGAAGAAAACTAAATTGTTTCCAACTCAACTTGGATACCGTTATGGCAGCTTGTATGTATGGACACGCCAGATATGATAAATGGGCCGAACCGTCAGGAATTAGGCCGAAAAGTCAACGAACGGGCAACAGTTACATTTCTTTGAGGAGATTTTTCTCTAGGTTGAGGCCTGTCTACCAAGCACCTGGTTTTCAGTCAAAAAATCACACCCGTTAACAAAATTAAAGGACCCTGTGAACACTGTCCACTGTCAATGTATCACGTAGATACTTGTTTTTGTCGTTTCGTATCACGTTCCGTCGTGATATTCGAACGCATTGCGACCGTTTGCACGTAAATCGGAGCCCCAATCAAGCCAAGGAGTCTCGAGATATCAGCCCGAGAGCCAGAGAGAGATAGAGAAGACAAAGGAATACAGCGTAGGCCTCCGTGAGTCGCCACGTCCGCGAACTGAGAGCGAAGACAAGGTAGTGTCTAATTTGGCACCCGTATAGGCCCCCTGATACGAAGCATATTAGGCCCCCTGATACAAAGCATATTAGGCACATATTCGGCTCAGTACAGGTGGAGCGACTTTGATGCCGTTTCTGTCCGTATTCTGCCAACGAATGAGTGTGTTGTACGAGATGATTGGGACCCGACCCTTGGTTACGGAATTATCTCTTGCCCTTGGTGTACTACAATTTCGAAACACGTTTCGTCTGTAAAGCTTCCCTCACGAAACGCCTATCGACGGATGAAATTGCTGCTCAACTTTCAGTCGAACAACAACAGACAGACTCTGCGCCTGATCAGTTAGCTGAAACCTAAACCAACGTGCATCTGCAGCATGTATGAGTATTCGCCACGAACTCTCTGCAACCTCCTACGTAGTGCAACTCCTCGCCGCTGCACCGATAAAAAGCAATATATCGCGCAGTCCTACAGCATGCTCCCTTTGGAATCTTGTGTCATGGTATTTAGAGGTAGACAGGTGATCGTGGTTGACCATGGTTATTTGGCGCCGTCGGATGCTAATACGTGATGTCATGCTAAATCAGGGCTTTATGCCGAGACATGTGCCCTTCTTTTCAGTGTGTGCGTGTAGACGATCTATGATCATGTGTGCGTGGGATACTGTGAGTTGGCTTGGAACGCGTTAATCAAGAGAAAGAGAACAACGGAGAGCAACAACAACCTGCTACTGTGGTAGGACAAGCAGGCAACACAGCACAAAGGTAATTGATTCTGAAGGAAGGGGTTCAATCCCATTACACTGGCGTTACTGGTTTTGCTCGTGTTGCTTGATTCTTGCGTTCGATTGATTTTGATTTTTTCGGTTCTGTAGTCTGCTGAGTAGCGGCAAGGTCACTGCCTTGGCCCTGCTTCGGCATGTCGACTCCTGATGAGCCACGAGGCAGCAGCGACTCTGCTGTCTCAAACCCGGTCCCTTTGTCGCCGCACAACACTCCTGATGACGATGATTGGCATGCTTCGCGTATCGCGGTTCGTGTTGATGAGGATTCGTCGAATGCCTTGTTGCATGTTCGCCGTCGGGTTTTTTAGCAGCAGCAGCAGCAGCAGCAGCCACGATCAAGATCGCTGTTCGAACGCACGTTAGCAGCCGTACTCTCAGGACATTGATGTTGCACGATCGCACACCGGAGGCCATGATCACGCGCTGCCCTCCAGATCTGTGCCCTCTCTAACTCAGCTCGCCGGTGGTCATCAGATGTGGTACACCGTCTTGAGACACATGCAGAAATGTAGATGCGCTCGGTGGTTCAACGTGCGTGCTACTCGACGACATCCCATCTCTACTTGAGGTTGAGGAAGCGGTACGGGAAATGACCAACAGAAAGGCCGTCGGGCCGAAAGACCTACTGGCTGAGCTGATCAAGCCTTTCCTGGACGGAGATCAAGGTCTCCTCCGCGAATTCCACGCCATTGTCGTGGACGTGTGGCAGACTGGGGACGTACCACAGCAGTGGAAGGATACCACCATCAAAGTGCTGTTCAAGAAGGGGGACACGATGGAGTGCGGCAACTACCGGGGCATCTCTCTCGTCGCACACGCCGGCAAGGTGCTGCTCAAGGTCGTCGCTACACGACTGAGCCACTATTGCGAGCGAGAGAGCATCCTCCCGGAGGAGCAGCGCGGTTTCCGCCCACACCGGTCGACGCTCNAAAGACCTACTGGCTGAGCTGATCAAGCCTTTCCTGGACGGAGATCAAGGTCTCCTCCGCGAATTCCACGCCATTGTCGTGGACGTGTGGCAGACTGGGGACGTACCACAGCAGTGGAAGGATGCCACCATCAAAGTGCTGTTCAAGAAGGGGGACACGATGGAGTGCGGCAACTACCGGGGCGTCTCTCGTCGCACACGCCAGCAAGGTGCTGCTTAAGGTCGTCGCTACACGACTGAGCCACTACTGCGAGCGAGAGGGCATCCTCCCGGAGGAGCAGAGCGGTTTCCGCCCACACCGGTCGACGCTCGACATGCTGTTCGCCATCCAGCGGCTCCATGAGCTCGCGAGGAAGAAGAGTACTGCGGTGTTCGCGTGCTTCGTCGACCTCACCAAGGCATACGATTCGGTGGACGAAGACCTACTGTGTGACGTGCTCCGACGCTTCGGCGTGCCCCCGAAGATGCNCGAAAGAGTACTGCGGTGTTCGCGTGCTTCGTCGACCTCACCAAGGCATGCGATTCGGTGGACGAAGACCTACTGTGTGACGTGCTCCGACGCTTCGGCGTGCCCCCGAAGATGCTGGCGGTCATTCGCCACTTCCACGAGGGCATGAGGGCGCGCGTCCGAACGGACGACGGGCAGTACTCGGAATGGTTCGACGTAGGCCAAGGCCTCCGACAGGGATGCAACATGGTCCCGCTGCTGTTCATTTTGTTCTTTGCCGCGATGCTCATGGTCGCCGTGGCCGAGTTCGACAAGGACCCCAAGGTGACGGC